CATCTTTTCTCATTCATTTTTTGTGATGTGGAGCCTGGAGTGAATTTGCTAAGTTCAAAGGTAAGAAAAATAATTTTCATAAATGCCAGTGCTGCAACCATTGTGGTGTTTGAGTCAATCTGCCTTGTTTCTTGCTTTAGCCTGATCATCATCAATATAAATCACGTACAAATGGCACAGAAAAAAACCCCAGCAACCCAGCACCAACCCTACATTATTTTCTGATGGCTCTTTTGCTTGGATTCTCTGACTGGTCTAAAATGCCAGCCAGGAAAAGTAGTAGCACTTAACTGCAGGTTAAGGTATTTGAGAGAGAATGTGTCATTTGTCTGCAGTAATTCTCTCCTTTAAGAAATAAAGAAAATGGGAGTTCAACATCGCTAGGCTGTGTTTATGATTATTTTTTTTTTACTATTATTGACTGAGACAAATGGATCAGCTGTTTATCATTGCTAAAAAAAGCAGCCAAAGCTGTACTTAACAGTAAAGTTAGAAATTTACGGTTCTGATCTGAAGAAATGAGGGATGAGTTGTGCTGGCAACACAGTTTTTCTGACTTCTGGCACTGGAATTGAGAGGAGGTTTTGTAATCTTAAAATTGACATTTAGCTTTGCTTAAGGTGACTTAAAATTCTAAAAACAAATGCTCTGGAAATCTTGCATGTTTCTGTGTGATCCTGCAGAGAAATAGAAGTCCTTTTCAGAACTGGCCTCTGATTTCATGGACCTCCCTTTTTAAATGCTTAACCTGAAGTATGTGAGCTGACATTGAGAGCATCGACAGCTTCGCTTGGCTTTAGCTGGAACAGAAAAGGTGGCTATTTGGGAACACCAGGCCTCCTTCGTCCTGTAGGTTAGGCATTAAAAACAAGGAGACATTTAAGCAGCCTATCTGACATACTCACTTGTGTTCTGAGGGTAGGTTGAGCTGAAACAACTGTAATAACCCAGTTTCCTGGTTCTCCTAAGCTCTGTCTTGTAGCCTGCTCTTCCCTGTTGGTAGGTGGTAAGAACAGAAGGCTATGTGGGGTCAAGGACAAGAGTGGTTTTCTCCTTAAAAAGAAAACCAGTTGTTTCCCTCAGCCCCCCTCACACCCCCCTGGATGTTGAAATTGATAAAATCCCTGCTGTAGCTATCACATCTTCTTTATAGATCTGTTGTGTTTCCAGTGTGTAAATATCTATAAACATTAAATATTTAAGAAGTTAATTTTCCAGGCTCTTGGTGACATTAAACGGTAGATAGGTTTTTATGGAAACCCGGCTCTCCAGCAGCTGTAAATCCCTAACAGTAACACCAAAAAATATTGCTTTTTTTTTTTTTTCCAGCCACCCAGTCTTTAAAATATTAACAGTGTTTTTTAAGTTTTACTTTTACCAGCAGTCACTTTTCCAGCTGTTGAGCTGACCAACACTTGCATTTCTCTTCACTTCCAGCCCATCAGACTTTTGTACATTTTTACTTTAGTTTTTAACAAGGAGGAAGCTGTGTTGACTTCTTGGTCTTATTCTTAAAATTATATTTCTGAATGCATTTAAATGAGGCTTGTCACTGGTGCCTGAACTGCACAGAAGTCCTCTCTGTCCTGCAGAGTAACGTTTTACAGGCATAAATATGGAAAAGAGGCTGCTGCCATTGTGACATAGCAACAAAATACTACATATTTATTTGTACACTCCAGCTCAGTTCTGACATCAGACCTTACTCTGCACTGCTGCCACTAAATCTTCTTGGGACATTGCAGTCGTGCACTGTGGCATGACGCTGGGACAGAAAAGGCTCCCAGTAACTTTCCACTTGCCTCATGGAGACCCTCTGCTCACAAGAAACTCCTTCCTGAAGAGGTTCTCCACTCCTGACTGATATTCTGTGCCATTTACTTTTTCTTTTTTCCCCTTCTCCATTTGCCAGGAAAGTCAACCTGTCAGTGGGCTGGATGTAGGTCAGACTAGGGGAAAAGGACATTTCCAGGACTTTCTCCTAAGGTCTCTTTCGACTTGTTAGACCCACTGCAAGGAACAGTTTTTCTCTACATACTTCTTGGTGGACAGAACTGCCTGATACTGAAGGTGGGTGGATGGGAAAAGCCTTGAGAGTGGCCAGGGTCCTGAGAGCTCATGATGGAGGGGAAATTGTGCATTGACTGTGCCTTGAGAGGCCCAAATACATTCAAACTGGGTCTTGCACTGATGTGTGATTTGGAATAGCCACCAAGACCTTTGCAGCCATTGGTAGTGCTAAAGGGATTAGAGGGGGCTTGAAGAAGTGAAGGAAGATTCAAGATGGTGTTGAAGTTCAGGCATTGTTTTGTGTTCCCCAGTGTTTGGCTACAGCTAGCTCTGCAGCCCTAATGGTCCTGTCATCTGCTTGTGAACATTTTACAGATCTTTCTTCATTTGTTGTACAAAAACAATTAGCAAAGAGCATCAATGAAATCAGTCATAAGAGCTCAACATGAGCAACAGCTGAAGAGATTGCTAGGGGCAGATGAGGAAACCGATGTCTGTGCTTTTGCTAGTAATTTTGGTCTGCTCTAGTTTATAAAAGGAGGTGTATCAGGGAAGTTGCACAATCTGGAACTTGAATGGAAAATAAAGAGGATTCACAGAAACAGATAATTCTCCTAAGGGAAAAATAAACTCCCAAGAAAGTGAATGGCTCAGTATTTTAACGCAGGTTACCAGCAAATGAGAATTTAACAGAACTGGCTGCGTATGGCCTTTCTTTCTGTTGTGCAGCTCAGGGTTTAGAACATCCATCTACCAGTCATGGCCAGTACGTTTTTGTGTAGTGGGACAACATGCCTTTATCCCTTCACTAGAAAGTGGTTGGGTTTAGGTTGGATTTGGTGGGTTGTACTGATTGTGTCTGACTTGACCTCAGCCTTTTTGCTAAGAAAGTATCTTCTACCTTGTCTGAGGGAATGAAACAGTGCACTAAGACAATCACAGGCAAGCGACACAAGCCACAGTACGACACATTCCTGCTTGGTGCATTCCAGCTTGCAGTTATTGTAGAGTAGGTTTAAAGTATGTTGACATTCACTGGTTTGTATCTGGGTTACCTTTCTCTTTCCATCTCCTTTAAGTTGGCAGTGGGTTCTTAGGCAGCACTCCCAAATTTCTTGGAGGAGGCCATTCTTCACACCCTCTGATGCTGAATACTTTGGGACCACAGTTCTGCATATTCTCACTGTCGTCTAAAGACTGATGTGGGACAAGATCCTGCTCTCCTTTGTTTAGTTGTTCTAAAGATTGGGCCTTTCACTTGGACTGCTGCCCAAGTATTTTTACAAGTCCAGACTTTCGTTCTGCCCTTGAGAGCTGCTAGGGTTTTTTCTCAGGAGTTTGTTTATATATGTCTCTCTCTAGCCTGGCTTTTGGGGGGAAGGGAGAAATACACAAGAAGAGCTAAAGGATCTTGATACACATGATAATTTGTTATTAATTGTAAATGAAAAAATCAGGTGCTCACCTTGGCCTAATGTCCGAGGTGTGTTTAACCAAAGGACAGATAGCTGACAATCAAAGTTCTTGTACAACAAAGAGGGAACATCAATCACAGTTTCATTCACGATTATTTCTTTCCCCTGCCTCAGTAGAACTGTGTTGGCATTAAACCTCATCTGCCCATCAAAGCCAACCCTATCACAAGGCCGCTCCTTTCATCGCTGCTGTGAGGCAGGGTTGGATCAGACAAGGTGAAATTGCTGGTCTATCCACCACTACCCAGAGCTCATGTTCCAGATGGGCATATGGTTTGATTTGCCTCCCTGCCCTCCCGTCCCTGTGGCAACATCATTTTCCCTTGAGCCAGGGAGCAGATTTGCAAGCTTTGCACCTACTAGTAGTGAATGGAACGGCTCAATTATGTTGTGAACCCAGTCAGGAGGCAGTTTGGCTCCTGCCTTTTTTATGTAGTTGGTCAAAGATACCTACTGTCATGTTCTGCCAGTTTCCATTAGACCCAGGCAGGAGCTGCTTTAGGTTTCTTAGCCCTTCGAAGCTCTTCCTAGAAGTCATGCCGTATCCCAGGAACTGCTGTGATTTAGCTGTTGTGGATGCAACAGTCATGGAAATTACACAAATCAAAGAGACAGTTTAGAAGAAGCTGCTAAATTTTGGATTTCCAGGTCCATCAGCTTCAAAATGCCCTTTCAGGAGAGATGTATTGCTGTTTTTATTTCTAATAAGATTTTTGTTGTCTTCCCCTTTTCCCTAAAATGGCAGATGTATAAGGTGTTATGTTACCCAGTTGTAACGAGATTGCTGCGTCCACTGTCCTCCTGAAGAGAGATATAACTAGATGCATAGGCAGAACTGCCAATAGAATTGCACTGTATAGAGGGCAAATACAGTTCTGCAAGTTGATGTCATTATTGCTACTACATCGTATTTGTATTTCATGTATTATTTGCAAAATGCAGCTTGTTCCCATTTGAGACTGCAGTTTAAGTATTTTGTGTTGGTGTCTGATTTGCAGTGAAACTGGAGTGTCCTTTCACTGAACTTGAATCATGCAGGTGAAGGAGAGTAAACATAGGAACAAATTGTAACCTGGTTTTGTAGACATATTCCAACATTATTTGTGCATCTGATTCTGTGTCAAGTTTTGGGATTCTATGCTCTGTGTTACATATCTTCCCGGATATGTAATCATATGTAATCACAATGGAGTGATTTTTACATGCCATCATTTCAATTCCATGGTCTCCTTCAGGAATGACGCCTGTAAACTGTTGTAAATGTATGTCTGAAAATGTAAGCATGAGGATTCAAGGAGAGATTCATGGTAGTTAAACTGTCTGACAAGCAGCTCTTGAAGACTACCAGGCATTCAGGATTCTCTTTTGCTGCTGAAGTTGGGCAGTAGTCTCAGAAATGAGGAAGAAGTGTGAATGTGAACTTGAGGACTGTGATGAACCCGAATGAAAGCTTTGCAGGTAGACAGTAAGAAGCAAGACAAGTTTTTTTCTAATTTATTTATTTATTATGTTTAGGGACTGTCCAAGGCACAAATAGAGGATGAATTCCACCTCTGCTAAGTCCCCAGAATGGAGCAAAGACAATCTGGATGGATCTAAGGTAACTTATATTTCCATAACTAAAACAATTAGTGAAATTGTTTCAGTAGTGAAATTCTTGATGCCACAAATGAAGTGACTTCTTTGCGTACGTCCTATTATTTCAGCCTTAAAGAATAGGACAAATAAGTTAAGTTTGAGCCCTGTCTCTTGCCTTACCTGTGCCCATATCTCTTCTGCTGTACTGGTTCTCATGGCAATGGAGTGATTCCAGCCACGCGCCCATCACTTGTGCCCTAACTCTGCCTACCTAATGTGCTGGGCATGTGCTTTGACTACTACAGAGTAGTATTGACTGGATTTCTGCAACTTTGCTATTATGGTCATACTGTGCAGAATACTAGTCTAACTGGACGGAACTGGGTTGGACTGTCTTGGAGAATGGGGTTTCTTTAATTTGTCTGAGAATTTGCTTAGTTTGTCTGTGTGAACATTTCTAAACCTTCACAATGACAGTGTGACCATATACTGGAGAATTTAAGCAGTGTTTTTGCAATGACTTGCAATCTTTAGTCCTCGAGTCTGTGGGACAGGAAAGAGAAAGAGCTGTACTGTGTCATCTCAGAAGTAGTCCTCTTGCTTTGGTCTGATTTTGGTTATATGAGCTGTGTAAGGAGAAATCTGTAACACAGCAAGAATAGAGTGATGCTTCCCTTGATTATACCTTCCCAGCTTGCAGTAGTCTACAGCTGCAGAACTTTTTGAACCAGAGATTTGTTCTTCATTTCCGTTCTCTGAGGTCAGTGGCAGCTGTGGACACTCAGTAATCTCTGATGTCCAGACTACTATGTTTAAGTGTCTAAATATAGAGATAGAGGCCTATGAGACCATGGGTACCATTGAAGCGGACTGGAAATTTCACATTTGCCTTTTTGGGGATTGAATCAGACCCTATTTCAGGTAACCAGCTTGAAAAAAATAAAATTGGATTAAGTGGCTTGTGCAAGTTGGTTGAACAAATGGGACAAATGGCTGGCAAGGCGCAGGAGCTCTGGATGCCATTCCTGCGCTCGACTGCCGAATTAAATTTGTTCTCGTGTAGAAAGAGCTCATGCTGGCAAAGCATCTTAATTGTGTCTTCTCAGAATACAGTGCTGCAGTGGTGTTTCTTGTTTGCTGTTCTTTATAGTGATGTCTGGGGAGAGCAGGAGCTCACAGGATGCTTTAGCATGACTTCTGCTTGATTAACAATATGACTGAGATTGAACCTCCATCTGTCAGTCCAGAAAAGATTCACAATTTTTAGTCCTTTTATACAGCCTGAAGTGTATATATGTATCTAGTTATATAATTTAGTACCTCTATCTCAAATAAAAGTATTTAGGGAGTGGGAAGGCACAGAATCAGCAGAATGCTGCAGTGGGAAGTAGGTATAATTTGGGGTTTTATCCTGTAAAGGCTACAGCTACTAAACTCCTTGCAGGGCAATAAGCCAGCCTAGCAGTGAGCTGTGCCACAAGTATGCACTGAGGCCCAGATCCCTTTCCCTTTGAAGGCAGGGAGAGTTAAACCATTGACTTCACTGCAGTTGGGTTAAGCCTGTAAATAGTTCATAACACTCGCATATTACAAGTTACTCTCATGGCCAGATCTAAGCATACTTGATCTCTAGAGGAATTTGACTTTGCATAGTCAGACATTCCTCATTTCTCATTAGTTAGGTAAACACATGTGCAGAGAAGTTGGGTTTGACGTCTTAACCCAGTTGCTTCATTCTGAGAGGGTGATGAAAGCTCTTTCAGAAATGGGGTGAAATACAGCATTTCTGAAAAGAATTGTCTAGTTCATCTTAAATTGAACTATGGCTGTGACAGCTGAGCAGGGAAGGCTCAGGCCCTGCATAGGTTAAAGTCTTTTATGATGTGAGGCTGTTGGCATCTGCTCTGCATGTCACAGAACAGAAGGACAGCAAGTGGGTTGTTCAACAGCTGGGATGGGAACTGAGGGGAATGGCAGTGAGCTGTCATCTGAGGCCTACAGCAAAGGGAATGAGAGGCTTTGAAATACTGCCTGTAATTTAGTGTGATTTGCTTTGTAGTATATTAAGCTTACGTAAACTCCAGCTCTCTCCTTTTCTTCATCTTCTATTCCCCAGTACAATTGCATGCTTGTCCTTTCACAATGATACACAGAGACACTTCCCCATGCATTTGTCATCAAGAAAAGCTATCAGCAGGTGCACTTGGCACATCACACGCAAATGAGTGGGCTGCAATACTAGTGCTGGAGTAGCAGCCAAAAGGTGGGATGGATGCACAAAAGGGAGTATGTCAAGATCTAAGGTACTTTGTACTAAGGTACAAAGCTCACCACTTGTGCAAGCCGTTCCTCAGTTGTCACAGGGAATGATCACAAGACTCAGCACTGGGTGGTCCAGCATGGTCCCGAAGTGGGAGATGGCTTAATGCACTGGAATAGTCAGCCTGTTGTGACAAGAGAGGAGTGTGGCTTGGAAAAGCGAACTTGAGACCATCTTAGTTTTGTTGCTAATGCTTGCAGTTGGGTTTTATTACTCATTAAGTTGTTAGCCTGTTTTGATCTTTATTTCAACAAGGCCAAGCTGTTATATCTTAACCATATGCACTGCACTTACAGTTTGTATTCCTCTTCTAAGAACTGAATGAGTTACATCTTGTCTGGTTGATATCTCTGGGCAAATTCCATGCAGAAGGCATGGGGCAGCCACACCCAGGGCCAGAATTTTCTCGAAAACACCAGGGGTTGGTTTTTTCCAGTGTTACACACACAAATGCAAAGCACAAAACCATTTTTATTTGCAGTTCCCAAGTAGGTTTGGACCTGGACATGTGGGTAGGAAATCAATCTAAAATTAGACTTACCTAACCTGACCTTGTAATTATGCTCGATATCTAAGCATCCGTGGGAATAATCCCCAGGCCTGAAGTTATTGCCTGTTGTGAGCTGGGCTGTTTCCCTGTCTGAGGTTAGTACTGTATTGTTCTCTAAAGGGCTGGGTGAGTCACACCTTACATGAGTAGTTTTATCTCTCTGATTAGTCTACATATGGAGAGGGCTAAAAAAAAAGGGTATACAAAAGGACAAAGACAAAACCATATCAGGAGTCCCTGCAAACTTGTGAGGCTCTCCATATGATTTCCTAGTTGAGAAATAAAGCACTTCAAACTTCTTTCATCTAAGCTACAACAGTGAAATGTTTCTACCATATGTCAGTGGTATAATCTACATAATGAACAAGATTTCACAGATGGACTGGCTGATGCAATGGACATTCTTTTCATATATTGCTTTTCACTTTTATAATTCTCTTTGGTTTCCCACAAGATGGGATGAATATTGGCAATTACTGAGCTATTACTTTCTATGTTGCATAACTAATAAAAGTGTTATAATTCAGCAAGGTGAGATTTTGTTCCAGAACAATCAGTGGCACAAAATAGCTAAAGAAAAAGAAGGCAGACGTTAAAAAGAGAAGATACCACCGCCCTTTCCCCTCCTTCAAAAAAAAAATCCCAAAGCCACTTTAGAATGTGTGTGCCCTCTTCAAACAAATAAAGAAACCCCACACATTTCATACTTTACTTTTTGACCAATGTCATTAAGTTAATGTGTTTTTTTTTCTCCCCACAATTTATGCAATGGTACAGCTCTCCGACTGTCTTGGAACTTGTTTGTGTCTTTGGCTTCTGAAGTTTTTAAAACTTGTTTTAGGTTTTATTACAAGTGCTTTTTTAAAACTAAAGGCCTTTTAGGAATGCAGGAAAATATTTGTTTTGAAGTCCTGCTTTCACCTTCATTGCTTTCCTTGGCCAAAGCTTACCACTTATTCAAATTCACAAAGTTCTAGGCCTTCATTTTGTTTCTGTAACCCTACTTGGTAGGTTAGAGACCAAATCCTTTCTGTATCCTCTCTCAGTCTTTCTTCAAAGATGGTTGGTGGTGAAGTGGTTTAAACTCTGCTTCAAACTAGCCTCCCAGTTATTGCTGGATCAGAGAGGTGAAGTCAGAAAGGTTGAATTTACTATGACCATGTGTCCAAGACTCAGAAAAGCTTTGTGGAAAACAAAAGTCTAGCTTGTATGAAAGAGGGCATTTTCTTTTGCAGTGTTACTGGGATGCGTCATCCCAGCCAAGAACCTGGAAGACATGAAGGTAGATGATATTGTCACAGATACTGAGGTTTTTAATTTTTTTAATGGACCAGTGGCCCTTTTGGGGAGTGTTAGGTGGAACTACAACCCACAGGTAGGTACGAAGGTGACATTTTGGTTATCCAGGAACAACAGTAATGTGCAAGAGTTCTCAGTTCTCATTAAGTATGTGTATGGGTAGAATATAAAATTTTATGTAGTGATGGTTAAAAGGAAAGATATCTCACTCTTGGAGTGAAACTCAGACATTCACCCACCCAAAGAATTTACCTAAGACCTCCCCGAACTCACACGCTCCTTTTTCTGTCTTTCATAGTTGCCTGATTGCTGGGTCTCCAGCATTTATTGTGTCTTGCAGAATATGTCTGCCATGTAGCTGAAGGGGCGATTGCTCCACCTCATGTATCCATACCAATAGTGGTGAAACGGCACTGTCAGATGCTTCATTGCCAAATATATTCACCAGGTCTTCAGCAAGCATACTGAACCTGAGCTGAAACTCCTACTGCTGTTAGCCATAGTTCTATGCCAACTAGATCAGCTATCGATAACACTACCTTGGGGGTGTCTAAAAGAGCGTAGCTAGTACTTGGAATTGTATTATAAATGCATCTTCAGAAGTTCCTGTAGCTAGGATCAAAGCAGTACTGCTTTGAGTAATAGGCACGTATGGAGATCTTCCTCAAAGATTGTATGCAACCTCCCAGAGAGATATTTTTTGTGGATTTAGATGGAATGGCAGTGCCTCAGCTTAAAGCTGAAGCCGTTCATAGCGGTTTCTCTTCCATCTTTCTTCACACTCATTTCAGGTGTTGCACTAGATCATATCTCCCCTCCTGCCCACTTAGCTGGGACCATGACCTTTGAATAC